TGGTACATGTAGGAGACTGTAAGTTTGCTGTCTTTCTTATTGTGCCGACTGTATGTCTTTCTGTCAGTCTCTCGCGTTTAACTATTCGTTCAAAGAAAGTATACACCTATGTTTGATGGTGACGGGAAAACAAACTGGGAATTAAGAAATGGTTTTATGGATGTCAACTTCTACTTTAGAAGGAACACAACGTTTCGGAGTATATCCTTACTCCTTCATCGGGAGGATGAAACTAACCTCAATCCACCTGATGAAGGGGTAACGTGAGTGAATGAGTTTAGTTTTACGCCGCAGACAGCAATATTCCAGCGATATGGCTGCCTGAAGAGGTACGGATATACTCCGAAACGTTGTGTTCCTCACAAAAAAGAAGTTGACATCCATAAAACTCTCTTCCTCATGTGTATCACTTCTAAAAGCCATTGAAAGACCAGAAATGGTTATTTGATGGTGATGTTGATGGTCGATGTTACATGCATATGAACGGTTATCTCACACAGCCTCTAAGCAGTATTTTATCATCTTATTATCGAGTTTACACCTCCCATTGCCAGACGGTTTTGGAAGTATCTCACAGCGACATCGCCATTGCATGTACAAATTCAGAAGCTTTGTCGAGGGTGGTTGTTCTCTACCGTTGACGTTTTACAGTGTGTGTGAGTTGGGTTTACGCCGCTTTAAGCAATATTCAAGCAATATCATGGCGAGGGTCACCAGAAATGGGCTTCAGACATTGTACCCATATGGGGAATCGAATCCAGGCTTCGGCGTGAAAAGCGAACGCTTTAACCACCTGGCTACCCCACCGCCTTTTCTGTTTACAACTTCACAGTACAAACTTGCATGTGGGCCCAAACTAGTGTTAGCGCTGACTATCTATTTGAAGCTGAAAAAGGGGATCTCCTATGCTTGTCGCAACGTGACTAGCTGGATGGAGTGGTCAGACATGGTTGATACATGTCAAAGTATCCCGTTAGGTCGATGGACATGAAGTCAATGACATGACTGCCTGGTCCATATTAGAGTATTTACAAACATCATCATATAACCCAAATATTGCTGAGTGCGGCGTTGAACAACAACAACAACAACAACAACAACAACAACAACAACAATAACAACAACAACAACACCGGAACGCCACACACTACAAATGAGTGGGCCTTAACCCTGTGCCTCAACCTGTAACAGTGGTAAAGCGCAAGACCAGAGGCACGTTATTCTAGAATACCCACATTTAGCGAGTAATAACGTAAGATATTTTTATTATTGCAAAAAGTACATATTTCTAAAAAGATTTTATTCTTCTAATAAGCACCGGAATTATTGCATTTGCCCACAGGACGCGTATTTCAAACTTACTGTATCGATTTTAGTTTTGATAAATCAGTGAGACGCATTATCGTGTGACTGAATGTCTGATCCATCATTTGATTGTCGGATATGGGGGTTCCATGCCGCCAGGCAACAAATGTTCTTTTTTTATAGAGCCCTTTTGGTTTTACCTTACGTCATGGCGATTGATACTATAGAAATGATCCTTGAAAGGATGTTCGTCGTATTCATTACAGTGGCTTAATTCAGAAGTAAAGATGAATACGTGAATATATAACGTCACGTATACAATGTCCGGGTACCCTTGAAGACCCCTTTTAGAATTGGCCTCCAGGAATTCTTGTCGTAAGAGGCGTCTAACAGGATCCCGTGGTCAGGCTCGCTGACTTTGTTGACAAGTGTCATCGTATCGATGAACGACGCTCATGCTGTTGATCACTGGATTGTCTGGTCCAGGCTCGATTAATTACAGACCGCCGCCATATAGCTGGAATATTCTGGGCAAGATTGTGGCTTTAAACAATAAGCAACCAAACAACATGACGATTTTGTCGCCAGCAGCAGTGTTATAAAGAGAACGTCTTGCGATACTTTTCTTTTGTCATTTCATTGTTGTTCTTTGTTTCAGATGTTGAACATAAACGTCGGTGGATTTCCGTTCGACTTGGAGTCTTTGGACCGCCGGACCGTGTTTTATGATCATTCGTCATGTTATATTCTTCATTTTATGTACGCATCTGTCGCTACATCTGATGGTTCAGTTGTGTATTATTGCCCTTTCAACATTCTATCTTTCTCCCTTTCAAATGCACTTTGATGTTGTTTGTGGAGAAAAACAAAAGTTTTTTTTGTAATCATGGAAATAAAAGACCTCAATAGCTCAATATTTGTATTTCTATTAGTATGTCACGCACCTTGTCAAAAGTGAGTGAGGGATTGCGTTTAGATTTACGCCGCTTTTAGCAATATTCCAGCAATATCACGGCGGGGGACACCAGAAATGGGCTTCACACATTGTGCCCATGTGGGGACATTGTCAAAAGAATCCTCCGTGGTTTAGTAGAAAGAGCGTCTCAGAGGACGAAGGTTGGTTCCCAGCCGCTCCATACCAAGAGAGCACACACACGCGCGCGCGTACGCACGCACGCCCGCACACACACACACACACGATGTATACATGTACGTTGGTTTGTTGTTAAACGGCACACTTTGCAGTTTTCTAGCTATATGGCGCCGATATCCGAGTAAGTTTAGTTACGCAGCTTTTGGCAATATTCCAGCATTATCACGACAGGAACAACAGAAATGGGCTCCACACATGGTATCCGTGACAAGAATCGAACCCGGGTCTTCTGTGTGACGAGCGAACGCCTTAACTACTAGGCTACCTCAGCTCGTGGCATACACTCAAGCCGAAGAAAAACAATGGTTGACGTTGACAGCAACCAAATGACGAGTAAGCAATCAATTATGATCATCCTGATCAGATTTAATCAGCTGTATCGTAAAGGGTACCGGGATTTTACATCTAAGTACGTAGAGATGAGGTGACAATTATAGACGGTTGGTTTTAGGTTTAGGTCCATTACAACTAAATTTTGTTTTGTTTGACTGTACAGAAATCCTTAACAATTATGTGCCAGGTTGTGTATTGTTGTCTCAAAACTACATTTATTTTACTTTTAAGGCCTGGTGTCGTATATATCTCCCATCAAATGCATGGAGACCTGTGAAGATCCGGGTTAGAATTGATCTTCAGTAACCCATGCTTGTCGTAAGAGGTGACTAACGGGATTAGGTGGTCAGGCTCGCTGACTTGGTTGACACATGTCATCAGTTCCCAATTGCGCAGATCCATGATCATGCTGTTGATCACTGGATTGTCTGGTCCAGACTCGATTATTTACAGACCGCCGCCATATAGCTGGAATATTGCTGAGTGCGGCGTAAACCTAAGCTCACTCACTCACCCATGTCATCGTACCCCAATTGCGTACACTGATGCTCATTATGTTGATCACAAGATTGTATTTTCCAGACTCGAATATTTACAGACAGCCGCCACATAGCTGGGTTATTGCTGGGTGCGGCACAAACAGCCATATGATTTCACTCTATAGTATATATGTAGTTACCTCTGCATGTTCCTCGATTGGCACATCTATACACTGATACATAGGCACCTTAACAGAAATTCGTAGGCACCTCTGTAGGCTCATATATATACTTATATATATCTTAAAGGACGACGATGAACATCACAATGTGTGATGGCACCAAGTACTATGTGTATCTGTGGGTTGAACAGTTAAGAACTAACTTCCGGGTTTTAAGAAAGTGGAATCATCCTATTGTCCATTTTCCATATAGATTGCAGCCACGCCCACAGATAGTCTTGTACACAAGTAAATGCAAAATAAGTACACAAAATCTGAAAACATTGCATGTTTGTAGTTGCTGCATGGTCACAAGGGAGTCTCTTGGTTTCAAATATAGCATACATATATTTTCTTAAACCGAACTTAAACAAATTTCAATTATTTGTGAAAATGTTCCGAAATTTCTTGTTTGTTTCTCGTTACTGTTTTCTCATTATTTCAATATTGATTCAAGTTTTACTGATGAAACGTGTATGTTCGTCGAGAACATATTTTTGCAGCCCAGGTCGTAGGATTATGCTTTCGTATGTTCCCGACGTTCTATGTGAATTACATTTGCGTAACAGAACGCAGAAGGAATGAAATGTTCGGTTTATAGGGAAGCAACGCACCATATGTATACTCAGCTACACGGATATGAAGTCAAAACTGGTATGTGGTCTGGCGGTTTGTGCTACTGTATCAAAGCAATGATTTCCGTCGATCAAGACATAATGAATCTTAAAAAGGAATATCCACTGTTTTAAATTCTGATGCGCACGTAAAATCACTCCATAGCCAGCGAAGTAGGTAATCCAGGTGCTGAGACACTCAAAGTATTTGTCGATACTGCGGGTCAAAGAGCACAAACTCCATTATGGTTTAGATAAGCATTATTGTCAATTTTAGTTAAAGTCATTTTATTCATGTCCTTTCAAATGAATTGAGTGAGTGAGGTAAAATCCAACGTCACCTCGGCAATATTTAAGCCATTTAGTGACGAGAAAAGTTTTGCATACATAATACATACAATCTGGTAAATATCCATCACGGTACTGTAAAATAACTAGAGTATCACAGATGGTGCAAATCTGTAAAGCATGTAAAACTATTCCATTCAAATGAACACCGTGAAGAGCCGGTTTAGAATTGGTTTTCAGCAACTCATATTTGTCGTAAGAGGCGACTAACGGGATCGGGTGGTCGCTGACTTGGTTGACACATGTCACCGTATCCCAATTGCGTAGATCGATGTTGTTCATGCTATTGTTCACTGTATTGTCTGGTTCAGACTCGATTATTTACAGACCGCCGCCATGTAGCTGGAATATTGCCTAATGCGGCGTTAAACAGCCAACCAACCAAACCAAACCAAATCAACCATCGGTGTCCTACTTCTGAACTGCAAGATATCACCCTGTATTAATCTGTATTATTGTACTTCTATTCACGGATGACACGTTGGACGTGGGACGCGGGACCCTGGTAACACTCTTGGTCGATACCTACGAGTGTCTATTAATATAGGCTCTACGTACAGTAATACGTATGTCTGATATTCCATCCTGTATTGTCAGTCTGTATATTGCCAACTCTATGGATTCTAAGTAACTGGTTATGTAACTGGTATATGTAACATTATCCCGCTATGGTGGCCAGGTGGTTATTTAGCCAACAATGTTCACTGAAATATACGCTACACAGCCAATGAATCCTGTTAGCAAGTGAGAGAATGAGTATGGTTTGAGTATGGGTTCAAATGAGCTATGGGTGAAATTATTAGAAGATGCATAATTTCTCTATCATTTTTCACCAAATATTAATATCATTTTATTCCACAAGCAGGTTAGTTTCAATAAAATCTCTCTCTCTCTCTCTCTCTCTCTCTCTCTCTCTCTCTCTCTCTCTCTCTCTCTCTCTCTCTCTCTCTCTCTCTCTCTCTCTCTCTCTCTCTCTCTCTCTCTCTCTCTCTCTCTCTCTCTCTCTCTCTCTCTCTCTGTGCTCAAGCAAAATAAAACAAGAACGTTAACGTAGCAGCAACACCAATAAGTTTCATAACTGTAGCTAATCTGTAGAAATTTATATTATTGTATTTTGAGTACTATCTACACAGCATTTTGCGTTTGGGTCGAACTTCGGATAAAACGAAGCGTTTACGCAGATCGCTTCAAAGTCGACATAATGGTGATTCACTGTTCAGTGGGCTTTGTCCACGTGTAGTAATTAAGACACTGTTTGATATTACGTATCAATAAAACTACAATCATTAAGAACAGATGTTACCCTGACTGACGTATGGAGGACAATGTCACATTTCGAACAACCGATAATATATATGTATACATATGGGCATTTAATTAGCGCATTTAAATAGTCAATCCCACCTATATGCATGCTCAAAGCGCTTATAGAAGTCACACACCCTGTGTTGATATACTGTACAAAACATTTAAAAAAGAACTGGAAGAAGTCACTCTGAATAATATTTATCAAATCTTGTTTTAACTGAGACTTGAAAGTGTCAATGGTTGGTGAACTCTTTATGGCGGGAGGGAGATTGTTCCAAAGTATGGTCTGATGCACTGAAAGCCTTTTCACCTAAGAGGTTCAGTTTAGTTCTTGGAACAGACAGGAGATGTTGGTGGTCTGACCGGAGGTTTCTGGAAGCCTTGTGATCTAAGATGAGTTCACTGAGATATGTTGGAACTAGTCATGCTGACATTTATAGGCCAGACACTATGGTTTGAAGTGGATCCTTGGCTCTATGTGTTACGGTTTAGACGTCCTGATGACTCTTCTTGCTGAAGACGTGTATGCAGCTGGTGGATGATGCAATAATCTAGTCTAGACACAACTAAGGCCTGAATCAGGGGTCTGGTAGCATCGGTTGTTAGAAGATAGCAAATGTTCCCAATAGCCCAAAAGGTGGAAGTAGCAAGTTCTGCACAGGTAGTTCACGTGCGCATCCATAGTGAGGCGGGAGTCAATGAGTACACCAAGACTCTTCACGCTAGAAGAAATCCTAATCTTAGAGTCAGCAATTCATTGCAATCCAGTTTTTTACAATCCTCACAAGCGCTGTTTCCGTGTTACGCAAGGGGCTGACTGATATTACCCTTGGAGATTAAATGAAGAGAGATGTCTCCTGTCTAACTGCGAGCTTCCATAATGGCCACAACCACGTTTGTCCAAAACACTAAGTAGCGTCTTTCATTATCAAGATCTCCATAATGAAGACTAAAACGGAAAAGTATCAAAATTATTGATGATATCTGTTATTCAGTGATTCCCACTGCTCATGCCTTACTGATAAGGAGGATATTTTTCACATTTAAGTTTACAACAAAAGTCTGAAACAGACCTCGTGATGACGCAAGATTCAAAAGTAGTATTGAAGCCGTGGTGGCTGAATAAGTTAGATGGCTGACTTAGTGTGCTGGCGATTAGGTGCCTGACTCTGAGAGTGTTGGTTCGAATCCCGGATGGGACTCATCCTAACAAACGTACTAGAATCTGTACTTTGCTGAGAAAGTGTTATCTCAAATATGACATCTGTTACATTTGATGTCATATGACATTGTGTGTTCATGTTATGATATTTGCAAATTATTTGATGACAACTCCAAATTCAGTGGCGAAAAAGACTTGTCCAGGATTGGTGCCCACTTCCAGTCCATACGTGTATGTGGGGCGTTCGTTACCTGATCTATTAATCCATTATCCATTATTTGTTCGTTTATTTGTGGTTTAACATCGAACTCAGCAATGTTCCAGCTATATAGCGGCGGTCTCTAAATAATCGCGCCTGGACCAGACAATCCAGTGATTGACAGCATGGGCATCAATCAACGCAACTGGGATACGATGACGAGTGTCGTGTGTCAACCAAGCCAGCGAGCCTGACCACGGGATACCGTTAGTTTCATCTTAGGACACGCATGGATTGCTTCAACCTTAAAGCAATCTTCGGTGACACCGAGAACAGCGTAGAAAGATCTGGTAGTATTTTCTTAGTTTTAGAAAGGGAACTAACTCTTGTCTCAGATCTCACATTACATCTCAAGCCACAAGAAAACCAGCATTTTGTGTGATGATCATTGTACCCTGCGAAGCTTAGTTGCAAGTTGGATTACCGTTGCTAAGAGGTGAATATTGCCATGACTGTCTTTATTGGTATGATCACCGCTCTTCCATTACCGGGGCGGTGGGGTAGCCTAATGGTTAAAGCGTTGGCTCGTCACGCCGAAGACCCGGGTTCGAATCCCCACATGGGTACAATGTGTTAAGCCCATTTCTGGTGTCCCCCGCCGTGATGTTGCTGGAATATTGCTAAAAGCGGCGTAAAACCAAACACAGTCAGTCAGTCAGTCTGCATTACCTTTAGATGTGTACTGCAATAGTGATAGTATGGATTTGTGAACTTTATGTGACTTTAGAAAATACTTGTTACTGATATAATATGGCCTTGTTGTTGGTTGGTTTCTCGCCTAGTTACATGCATTTCATGGACTGATTCCCGGTTAACCTTCTAGTTTCAAAATTGGGAATCATCTAGTAACACTTTATATTAAACAGTCTCAGCGTCACTGAAATTGCATTTCTTAAAACAGAATACACAGGTGTTGTTTGAGGTTATTTATTTCATTTCCATTCGTCCCAAACATCATCTGGAAGATATGATGCCGCATCGAGGACTGAAATGTGAAAATAATTGAATTATGTCTATCTTTTATGCAAAGTAATAAAAGCAAGATTTAGAATAGTTTTTCTAAAATATCTAATGTCGAAGCTTATTTATGAAACATAACTTACTTTCCTGACTTGTCCCCAGAATTCCACAGACGCCTCTGAATGGTTCATGACTGGCCGGATTCAATCGTGCTTCTGCTTTTTCACCCGTAATCGCTATGCACCACATGCCATTCACGCATCTGTTACAGAAGGGAATACGTGATTGTAAACATGGCATAATTCACGATTAGGAATATCACAATGCTTTTCGTGTTCTTTGTGGATATTTTCAACAAGGAAATTTCCCTTCGTTCCGAAAAGCGATGGTGACTTCCACACTTTGACATGGACTTCAAAATCGGTTTCCTAACGGGATCAGGTGGCCAGACTCGCTGACTTGGTTGACACATGTCATCATATCCGAATTGTGTAGATTGATGCTCATGCTGTTGATCACTGGCTTGTCTGGTCCCGACTACAGCCATATGACTGGAATATTGCTGAGTGCGGCATTAAACAACCAACCAACCAACCAATCATCTTTGATTATAGACAAAACAGTTGCCACGTGTGCAAAAAAGTAAAATAGTGCTAAACATTATGTGAATTGATCAATGAAAGTACAAGTCTGATCTGTTCTCGTTCAATAACAATCAAATAGGCAATTGTCTTCCACTGATTTACACACCTGAACTTGACCTTAATCAGATCAGCGAGATCACTCCATATTTCAAGTTAGATCTATGCATAAAGTAGGGCTGGCTAAAATGATCCATAATCGGAAATGTCGTTGATAGGAAGAAATATCAATGATTATCGATATGAAAAGTGTGTTATCGACAATATGGTACAGTATCTTTTGTGGTCGAAAACGTTTTAAGTGTCTCTCAATATATGCAAAATTAGAACTTTATTCATGATGTTTCTAAATGATTAAGCTATTTGTTAATGATCCATGCACACATATGTCACCACTCACCAGTGATGTGAAATATATTATTTCCTTCAGACATTTTGGCCGATATTTTACTTTTATCGATGTCTGTGATCTATATCGATAGCGTCACATGACTCCTGCTAAAGAATTATTCCATTAAGATTACAACATTTAAGGCTTTTTGTGTTGCTTTTGTAAACTGAACGGCTTTCCCAGGACTAGGAAACAGAAGAGAAATCAAATAATTATAACATATATTCAGTGCAAATTGTAAGGGAACACCGGACTTCATAATGGTACTAAATGTATTTGACGTAATGGGTTGAAGTATTGAGCGCCTACTAAATGTGCAAGTTCTTGGATTCTTAACTTTCGACAACATGCACGTGCTAAATATTTAAGTCGGGTACAGACGTCGACGTAAGAATGCACACCAACCAGAACGGTAATATGGTGGTGGCGCGTGGTCCTGTGCTCAAAGCTCAGGTCACAAATCGGTGAAGTTAAGCACCGTCGAGCTCGGAGAATCCTTGGATGGGTGACCGCGCTTGGCAGCTTGGCTCCTGAGAGTTTCTAGGACTTCAGTCCTGCCCCACAACGAAGCACATGTGACACATGTGGTCTCACCTTAGGCAAGTGAGTTTGTTCAACATTGTCTCTGTTCACCCAACAGGAAAATGGGTACCCGGTTGGATAAGTCATGTGACTATAACCTTCTAGCGCCTAACAGGCAGCTTGGGTTATCCGGGGTAATAATATGTGTGCTGTAGCGCCTTGAGCGAGCATTGAATGCACGGATATAGGCGCGGTTACAAATACCCACTATTATTATTATTATTAATACCAATTGATTTGTCGCTAATCTACAGAGGTGGAGAGACGCCAAGCGACAAGTGTAGGAAGAGTCATCTAGAGGGAAGTGCCCAGACAGTGTGAAAAGTCTGTTAGTGTAACATCCTGTCTGATGACCACGTTCCAAGCGACCAGGAGTGTTAATATCACATGACCACGGCCTTCACCTCTTACGGATCATTTCAAACCAGTCGTCTGTTTTAACATTGAGTTCATCTGAACAAATGTAGCATGAATGAGCGCTGCAACACTTCGTTTCAGGGAAGCTAAATGACTGAATGAACGAGCCATAAAGAAACTTTGTATGACAGTCATCGTCCTCTTCATCGTCAGTCACATTAACATGGTATGGGGAACAGACGTGATTAGAGAAACGCGATATTCTTTCTACAGTTAGCTGATGGCCACTACGTAGGAAAATATTGAGGTGGATCTAGGGGAGCATTTCTTACTGCCAATATGTATAAATTGTCTGGGTGGTCGAATTTATACTCAGTGTTACAAGATTGCTAACCGATGGTATCCATGTTTTTCATGCAGGAGGGTTGAAACTTTGAATTCCAAGATAACACCTGGCCACGCACAGCTTAATTGACGATGGACATTGTAATCCAGCCCCACATCAGAGTCCTACCTTGGCCTTCACAGAGTTCTGACTTTAAATGCTTCAGATCATGCATGGGGCATTTTGGGGAAAGGAGTAATGCAAAGAGCAGAAGAACCCCCAAATTTGGATCAACTTTTGAACCACTTCTAGAGAAAAAACCTCCAAAATTCGTGTGCTGTTACACAATAATGCCAAACAGTCAATGGGGGCATACCCGCTATTGAGTGCAAGGGAATGTGTGCTATCAATTTTCAAAATCTATATCTATTTCTTTCAATTTTGTAATTGTTGCTGTAAAATTGGTTCTTTTGTTAAAAAGGGCGGTTAATTCTAAATAGCAAGAGCCACAAGAATTAATCGACCTTTACTGAAATGCCAGCCAGAGGGTACAGACGGGGCAAGAGATTTTGCTGCTTCGAAGTAAATATATACTTTTAGAACATTCGCTTTACAAAATTGTGGGCGAACAGTATTATAGTCTTTGCACAAACATGCCTTTGTTTCTTTGGTTTTTGTTTCAGTATAGACAACACACTGCAAGTATGCTCTGTAACTGCGCATGAGGAACCCTTCTTTGGTGCGGCACACCAGCAAACGGACCGCATAACAACAATGACGCAATAATGCCAAGATTGACGCTGGTTCAAAGCAATAATGCAATTGTGAGATTGCAAGCAGTTGGAAGCTGTGACACTGGTGTGTCCAGACTGACCATCTGTAGTTTATCGTCGCGGTGCAACACCAGTGTTAATGACAGATCAAGGTCAGATCATCACAGAGTAACCATCGTCGCTCAAGATCAAAACATCCGGGTGCGTTATCACTGTTCCAGCCAAACGACGAAATTGCATTCTCAGCTATATGTGCTACCGATGTTGCATCATGTCAGGTCTTAATCAATACACTTCAGTTAAAATACGATAACGTTTCACCATGCTTTCTGCGCCATATGTGGGCGGTGGAGTAGCCCAATGGTTAAAGCGTCCGCTCGTCACGCTGAAGACCCGGGTTCTATTATCCACGTGAGTACAATATGCGAAGCTCATTTCTGGTGTTCCTTATATTGCTGGAATACTGCTAAATGCGGCGTAAAGCCATACTGACTCACTCACCCTACTCGATATGATACGAATCATACCAACTTTTCAGACCCGTTGTTACTTAGAAAGGAGAACTAAACGACGCTCTCTTCCTTTACCGTTTCACTTTGTTATCAAATTTTGTTCTAATGTATCGTGTCACGATAATTTCTTCCCGAACTGTTTGGTGATTTGTTGCCGTACGAGGAAACATTCCAGCTATATGGCGGCGGTCTGTAAATAATCGAGTCTGGACCAGACAATCCAGTGATCAACAGCATGAGCATCGATCTACGCAACTGGGATACGATGACATGACGCCGAAGACCCGGGTCAGATTCCCCACACCTTTTCTGGTGTCTCCCGCCGTGATATTGCTGGAATATTGCTAAAAGTGAAAACAAAACTTACTTACTCACTCACTTATTTAAAAGCATGTACTACTCACCGACGAATTCCAGAGCAAGAGTCTCCGACTCTTCCACCACAAATGTTGCAGCAGCCACAGAGGTCCCTGATCTGGTGCTCTTGCTCGCATGGTGGATCCACGCACTTGCTTTTGTCACAACGCAGGCAGGACAGCCCATTAGACAAGTCGACGAAGACCACACCGAGGATGATCCCCACCATCAAGAATATACGGCTCATTGCTCCTGAAGTTCGCTGTGGTATCTCAGTTTAGACTTTAGCTGAAAGAGTTACTTACTACAAGCTGGGAGATATATTTATACCCTCAGAAAAAAAGAACAATATGTTATTGACGGTCTGCAGAAACTGCTGGTGGCACAACGCCCAACGCCCACACAAATGGCAAACATAAACGATGTGCACATCTGTGACTGTCAATACCTATTTGCAATGCTCTGTATTTCCACACGTTTACATTATCACGTTAATAACTTCACTGAAAAAACAGGTAACGGTTCTTTGTATGCTTCTGATTGCATCGCAAGCTAGTGTTTATGCAACACTGAAAAATATTGATCATGATCATACCAAGACTTATGTGTTCTACCGCGTTTAATCATCATCTAATCAGCAGGATCAGGATGTACCACAAGGCAGTAATATGCCTGTGACATTATTTAGGATAAACGCTAAAAGTGTGTCAAAGGTCATACACGAGTCAAGAGATGTTGTGGATGACTTGTTGGAGGATACATAAGCATACTATTGAAAGGCAACCGCGATTATATTTCAGTAATGAATAAATGGTGTTAGGAACCTTGATTTAGTTTTTCAAATGAAAAATTAATTTTATCAACGGAAATATAAACCTCACAAAGATAAGGAACAGAGAGTACTTCAATTAAATTTGTTTAGGTACCCAAGTTCTTTGGTATTATTTTTTATCAACATTTGACCTTTCGAGCACATATAAAATATTTATTAAATGCATACCGAAAAGATATTTCTACACTGCGTTGTTGTTTAACGCAGCATTCAGCAATATTCTAGCTACAGGGGAAGCGTGCATGTAGCGTTTTACGTCAAGGCCAACGAGTCGTCTTTCAAGCATCGCCGTGTCAAACTGTCTTTACAATATATCACTATATTATAATGCGTGCAGCAATGCATGCAGCTGTGATATTAATCCTCTTTGTGAGGATATATACGATACGAAATCCTCTCTAAGAATACGAATTCAAACTTTCATTTCTGCTAGAAAATATATCACCTTTCCGCCCGCCCCTGCCACCACAGGTGGATCTCACATTAACAAAATGTAAGAAATCTGAAAGAAACCAATTCATCTATAAACAAGAATACAATGAAATATGATACACTTATTATACTTAGAAATCTATCTTTATAGGTGGATCCAAGGATGGTGGCGCAGTTGCTTGTGCCAGTATCATTGGGTCCAGAAAACATTCTTCTCGATCACCAGATGAGAGCTTTATTTTCAAAGCAGAAGCAACCGTCATATTAACAACTCTTAAATATATCAATAAACAGTCCATGTATAAAATACTTTCAGACTCACGTCCGCGCCTTCAGGCAATTAAAAATATGTCATGTAAACATATTTAATCGAAATCCTAGAATTATACAATGATCTTGCTATTGGCAAATACGACATCATCCGTTGCTGAGGCAGCACTCAACAAATCTGAGACACCACTCTTGATACAATACATCGTTTTTTGGTTTAACATCAGAGATCTAATGCGCACAAGTTGGTATCGATACGCCTACAAGGGCCGTCGGTCTAGATTTGTAAATAGAATATTTTCATTGACATGTTTTGTAAACAGAGAAAATTGTTTTGCAAATAGATTAATGTGCTTATGCTGAAACTAATAGATTAGATTACTAGTGGCAGCATTCTCAAAGGGGGTGAAGTACCATAAAATTATTATCCCCCCGAGTGAGTGAGTTAAACTTTAGCGTCACATCGGCATTATTTCAGCAATAGTGACGGGAAGACTTTAGTTAACTGGTCCCCTGAGAATGTACGTCATTCAAAATATATTTATTCCTACAACGGTTATATTTGTGGAATTCGTGTTCGTTTAATTTGTCAAAATCGCTAACATGTAATATATGTCGCTTTAGAAATTACTGAGATAGAAGGCTTGTGAGTCCCCTTTAAACCAGCAAAATAAACTCAGACGCATCTATAATATTCAATTCTATATTCAATTAACACGGTTACAATGAATGACAGTACGTATTTCTGATACAATACAGTTGGATCTCAAATGTAAAATATTGGGTCACAAACCTAAAATATTAACTCACCAAAAGTATTGATATTCCCAGTAAACAGATGTACATCATTAGTACATGTACTGATTGAAGATTGTTGATAGCTGTCGAAAGTTGACGAGGCCATCATCTCAGTAATCACCCTTCATATATCTGTTATACAGTTCCAGTGAATACTAACAAAAACCATGCCACACTACAACCATCTAGAAATTACTCATTCTCAAGCACGACGTTGAACCCAATTTCACCTCACCTTACCTAGAAATTACTCACAGCCTCTACAATCCGACCCAGGAAGCGAAACAAAGGGGAGGTAACTCCCGAGCCAACTCTTAACAGGTGAAAATAAACTGGCAAAATTCAAGGTGTGAGTTCAAATCCACACCCAGCCCTATAAAACTTTTGTGACCCATAACAACTAAAAGTGAATTAATGAGACACAATAAGCAAAAACACATCCTCATAACAAATGGGATAGTGTAAATCCAACTCTGATCTCCACAAGTTTGTCCACCCTCCGTGGTTGGTGATCTTATAGCCCATTATATTGCATTGTTGTGTCTATAACTCACTCACTCACTCGATGGGGTGTAGAACTTGAGACCTTAAGGGCTAATACAGTACTTGGATATTGTGGTTCCACTAAAAGGGTGTCGTCAGTCTGGAGGTCGGGCGTTGTTGTGTTGCCGTTTGATTGTTGCAATGGATGGACAAAAGAACTTCATCTACGTTACGTTGTGCCGTTAAATTGCCCCAAGCGTGTACCAAGTCTGTTCTACAGGTTTGGAAGATAGCTGCCCGCATCATCACATTCCACCGTTATGTTCCCCACGACGCATGTGAACAAATTTTTTTAAATAAATGACGTCTTCCGTTTCCAAAACCGTGACTGGCCTTGAAAAAAAATGTAGGTATGCTTTGTGTCATTGATACCACCACTGAAGTCGCAGCCGAAAAAAACTGGCTGCGGTCGAATCCCAGTCGCCTGTCTGCAGTCGGTTGTGGGAGTGGTTGTGCTGAGCTTCTGGCAGTCGTGGCATGTTTTCACTGTACAATAATGACGACAGACAGATGGAAACCCTTTATTTCCAAGCCCATAAATTTGTGGGCACGTTAATTTTATGAAGTACACTTCTTGATATGCATGCGGTTTGTAGTGCTATTCGATAGTCAACAACTCGTGCTAATATAGATGTCAAGTTTCTAAAATGTGTATGGCATGTTTAATGTTTATAATCGTATCTCTCAGTACCGGTAGTATAAATCGACAACTAATAGTTAATAGTTCCTTGTCTGTACCGAGTATAATTGATTTCCTGACAAGGACAAACTTCATCCTACGTACGCTGTTTCTTGTTCAGTGTTTTGACGAACTACTGACAATGAATTCATGGATTGCTTTAAATACTGAACAAAACCTGGACCCAGAATACTCGTCAGCATGATAAGCAAAAAATGTTAACTACTGGGCTTCTCGATTTCCGGAATGAGCCATCATTAGGTTCGGGTGTAGTGACTTACCGTTACAATCGATCATTTAAAACCAGGGTCTGTGGGGTCGCGTAGTAGTTAAAGCGTTTGGGTCAGATTCCCCACATGGGTACACTGTGTGAAAACCATGCCTGGAGTTACCAGTCAGTCAGTCAGTCAGTCAGTCACTCACTCAGTCAGTCACTCACTCACTCACTCACTCACTCACTCACTCACTCACTCCACTGTGGTGAGCATACGGATCCACTGACTAGGGTTATAAAATAATTTTTATCAAATTATCGGAAGATTTGTATATATCATTTTGCATTTATTGGCCATTATTTGGTAAAGGTTACACATATGCTCTGGACAGAAAAGCAATTTACACACAAAAAACCCATCAGAAATCTTATATCAGAAATCTCATTCACAGTGCTACACTATAAACCCTGTCTGCGTCGCCTTTCCACTCTCTCTTTCACAACGTAAACAAGGAATTGAATGATTGCACTGTGCTGTTGTATATGTGACTGTTTTGTTTTCACAAAATCTGTTTAGCATCGGGATCGGGTGGCCAGGCTCGCTGACTTGATTTACAAACATCATCGTATCCTAACTGCGTAGATCGATGCTCATGTTGTTAATCACTGGATTGTCTGGTCCAGATTCGATAGTTACAGACCAGAGCCATATGACTGGAATATTGCTGAGTGCGGCCAACCAACCAACCATCTTTGATTATAAGACAAAACAGCTGCCACTGTGCAAAAATGTAAAATGGTGTGGAAATTTTGTGAAATGATCGCCGAAACAAACAAGTCTGATCTGTTTTGGTTCAATAACAATCAAATAGGCAATTGCCTTCCACTGATTTACCCACCTGTAGTTGAACTAAATGAGATCAGCGAGATCACTTCGTGTTTCATGTTAGATTTATGCATAAGTAGGCTAAAATGATCGATAATCGGAAATATCGTTGATAGGAAAAAAATATTAATGATTAGCGATATGAAAATTGTGTTACCGATAATATCGCACATTAACTTTAGTATTCGGAAGTTCCGGTGGCGCTGCGTGCATGACACGACGCTAGAAAAGCTCGCTCTCCAAAAGCCGGTAAAACAGAGACATAAATGTCCGCAAAGAAGAGCTCAAGAGGTAGGCAAAACATGGACGCCCAGGTTAATCCTGACACTGCTCATAGCGACGACGGCGTACAGACGAGAGCCCGCACCGGCTCCGACAGGCCACCTGGGCCAGCCAATACAAAAACCACGCCGTCCGCCATGACAAGGGACTCGGAGAAGGATGACCTAAAAACATTTATAACTGACTCGCTGAATCTTCAGACGTCTGAGCTCGGTAATAGAAAACATGACAAGCGATATTAAAGAGTTACACTCTAAAACAACAGACATTCTTGACTCCGTTAATAACAATGCCGAGCAAATGGAACATAATTCTGGGAGATTGAAAACTTGAGGTCAAAGATGACCAGCATGAAAAAGGAATTCGAGAGGAAACTTCTTACACAGGAGTTGTACTCCAGGAAATGTAACC